GCTACATGTTAAACTGATAGTTAGCTAGCTACTGTCATCGTTCTCGGGTCTAGGTGAGTCCTCCTCCTCAACTAACAATCTTTGGGGTTCTGTGTTCCACAGGTGAGGAGCGGAGAGGTACCAGCTGTTCTGAGTTACTCATTTGGAGCTCGGGTTTAAAAGGAGGATGGAGACACTACTCGAAGCCGGATGATTACTCCAGTATAGGTAACGCCTGCCACTCGCACTTGTTTGACCTCGCATGTTTGGATTACTTGGATTTTGACCTTGGACTGTTTATTGGATTACGGCTTTGAACTTGCTCCTGAAGCTCCGTTTGTTTGCCCTCCTAGGATTACCACCCCAACCTTCACCAAATTCTGCTAAGAACCACGGATCCTCATTCACGTCTCATCCTCCTCCACCGCTCCTGCATTTCTCCTCTCTGCTTCCTCACCTCCCGTCCGGCTGGATTACTACACTCGTCTCCTTGGCACCCCGCAGCTCGCTGAGCTAAGAACTCTGAGCAATCGCCCTCGGCATCATTCACTGGATTTCAGTGCTACTTCAGTTCCCGTTTGTTTAAATAAAGACTTTAATTTCTTACCTCCTGACTCCTGAGCTGATTCTGCATGTCTTGGGTTAAACGCCTTCCACAAGTCATGACAGAATCATCCGGCCAACAAGATAACCCAGCGGAATCAGCTCTAGCAGACCTGGCTAACCGGATGGCACAGCAGGAACAAACACTTCCTGTCCTGCTCGATCAACTGGCGGTAGCTAATCAACGGTACCAGCAGTTGGAGGCTCTGGTTCAACAACTCCACGATCGATTACCGGCTCCAGCAGCACCTCCAGCTCCCGCCCAGGCTCCGGTAGCGGTTCCGGAACTAGCGTCACCGGCTCTGATTCAGCCCGGACCGGAAGTACCCGGACATCCGGAACTCACCCACTTCCGTCTAGCTCCGCCGCCATCTTGTCCAACGTTTTCCGGTGAATTCGAGGACGGATATGGATTTTTATTACAATGTCGCCTGGCTTTCGAGCGTTGTCCAAGCGCTTTTTCTTCCGATTCTGCAAAAAACTCTTTTATTGTGGGACTGTTAAGAGGCAAGGCTCTTAGATGGGCTGAGGCAAAGAGTCGCAACCCTGAGTTTTTATCTGGTTCCTACGAGGATTTTTTGGAGGAGTTTAAATTGACCTTTTGTAGCTCTGAAACAGTTACGGACATACGCAAGAAGTTGTTACACCTCTCCCAGGGTCGGAGAACGGTAGCTGACATGGCACTGGAATTTAGGACTTTGGCTGCAATGACCACTTGGAACAACGAGGCCTTAAAAGCAGCTTTTATTGAGGCCCTTAATGACAAGGTCAAGAACCAGCTAGCTCTGTGTCCTGAGCCACCCACCCTGGAGGGTCTCATTACACTCTCTATCTCAATCGATAAAAGACATAGAGAGTTTCACGGAACTTCTTCATTGGCTTCGTCTTCCTCTTCAATGCGCCGTCAACCCAGCTCAAGACCACCGTTCCAGGCAGAACCGGCAGAGGAGCCCATGCAACTGGGAAGGGCCCACCTTACCCAGGAGGAACGACACCACCGGATGAGTAAGGGTCTCTGCTTGTACTGTGGACTGCCTGGGCATTTCGTCCAGACCTGTCCGGCTTTGGTAAAAGGAAGAGCCCACCAGTAGGTCCGGGAGTACTGGTGGGTAGCAGTTTTGGACATACAACCTCCCGATTCACCCTCGCCTGCTCTGTGATGTGGAAGGGACAACACCACCAGGTCACTGCTCTGGTGGACTCCGGTTGTGAGCAGTCCCTTATCGACCCTCAATTAATCAGAGACTGGGAGATCTCCACAGTTCCTCTTCAGGAACCTATGACTGTTTCTTCTTTAGACGGGAGGTCGTTATCCACCATCTCACACAGGACTACGCCGCTCCAGCTCAGAGCCTCAGGTAATCACATTGAGACAATTTCACTCTTTGTGTTTCCATCCCCTCAGAACCTGTTGGTGCTTGGACACTCATGGCTTGTGCAACACAACCCACACCTTGATTGGCAGGACAACAGAATCGAGGCATGGAGTCCGACGTGTTACCAGATGTGCCTCAACTCGGCCTCTCCGGTCTCGAAGGGCTCCAACACGACCCCGGTTGAGCCTCCTGACCTCTCCCAAGTACCAGCTATCTACCACGACCTGCAACAGGTTTTTAGCAGGGACCGAGCAGCGACGCTGCCCCCGCACCGTCCTTTCGATTGTGGTATTGATTTGCTTCCTGGTGCCCCGCTGCCTTCCAGCCGCCTCTACAGCCTCTCCAAACCGGAGAGGGACAGCATGGAGAGCTACATATCTGAGGCCCTGGCCAACGGGACCATCAGGCCTTCAACATCTCCCCTGGGTGCTGGTTTCTTCTTCGTCGCTAAGAAGGACGGTTCACTTCGTCCCTGTATTGATTATCGAAGTCTTAACCAGATCACCGTGAAGGATAAATACCCTCTTCCACTGCTGTCCTCCACCTTCGAGCCCGTCCAGGATGCTACCGTTTTTACTCGTCTGGACCTCCGAAACGCCTACCACCTGGTTCGGATCCGCCAGGGGGACGAATGGAAGACAGCCTTCAAGACACCGCTGGGGTATTTCGAATACTTGGTTATGCCTTTTGGACTCACCAACACGCCGGCTGTTTTTCAGAGACTGGTCAACGCTGTGTTGGGTGATTATATCAATGACTTCGTGACTGTTTATCTAGATGATATTCTGATTTTTTCCAGTTCGATCGCCCAACACCAGAAGCATGTCAGAGCTGTGCTTCAACGTCTTCCAGAGAACAGACTCTATGTGAAAGCTGAAAAATGCGAGTTCCATGTCTCTGTGGTGAAGTTTTTAGGTTTTGTTCTGGAGAGTGGGCGGTTGAAGGCTGACCCCGAGAAGGTACAGGCAGTGGCAGACTGGCCTAAGCCCACTACCAGGAAGCAGTTGCAACGGTTTCTGGGGTTTGCCAATTTTTATCGGCAGTTTATTAGGAACTATAGCCAGACAGCCGCTCCTTTAACCTGTCTTACCTCTACCACTAGAACCTTCTCCTGGTCCCCAGAAGCAGAAGTGGCCTTTAGGACCCTCATGAAGAAGTTCACGGAGGCTCCTGTTCTCACCAGGCCGGATCCAAGCCAGCAGTTCACTGTTGAAGTGGACGCTTCTGACACTGGGGTTGGAGCTGTTTTGTCCCAGGTATCTCCCGTCGATCATAGACTCCATCCCTGTGCCTTCTTTTCTAGACGTTTGACGCCGACAGAGAGTCGGTACGATGTGGGGGATCGAGAGTTGTTGGCAGTGAAGTTGGCCCTCGAATAATGGAGGCACTGGCTGGAGGGAGCAGAACATCCTTTCGTGATCTGGACCGACCACAAGAACTTGACCTACCTCAAGGAAGCTAAACGGCTAAACCCACGCCAATACCGTTGGTCACTTTTCTTTACTCGATTTAACTTTGTCATTTCCTACCGGCCAGGGTCTAAGAACATTAAACCAGATGCCCTTTCCCGTCAGTACTCGTCTGAGGATGATCCCGTTCCGAGCACTATCCTGCCTCCGTCCTGCGTGGTGGCGGGAGTCGCCTGGGAGATCAGAGACAGAGTTCTGGAAGCCCTCAGGGTCGATCCCGGTCCTGGTAACGGTCCTTCAAACAGACTTTTTGTTCCTCAGGTCATGCGAGGCAAGGTTATCCACTGGGCTCATACTGGAAAGTTCTCCATTCACCCTGGTGTCGGTCGGACTTTGGCCCTCATTAAGCGCTCCTTCTGGTGGCCGTCTATTTACAAGGACGTGAAGGAATACGTCTTGGCGTGCCATGTGTGTGCCCAACATAAAGGTAACAACCGCTCACCTGCTGGTCTACTCTGTCCTCTTCCTGTTCCGTCTCGTCCCTGGTCGCACATCGCCTTGGATTTTGTGTGTGGATTGCCCGCCTCTCGTGGTTTCAATACCATATTGACTATCGTAGACAGGTTCTCCAAGGCTTGCCACCTTGTACCTCTGAAATCTCTCCCATCTTCAGCCATCACTGCCCAGCTCCTGATCAAACACGTGTTTCGTCTACATGGGATTCCTGAGGAGATTCTGTCTGACCGTGGCCCCCAGTTCATTTCCAGAGTCTGGAAGGAATTTGCCAACGCCTTGGGTGCCCGTGTAGCATTAACCTCCGGATTTCACCCGCAGACCAACGGACAGTGTGAGCGCATGAATCAGGAGCTGGGAGCTATGCTGCGTTGTGTATGTGCTACCAACCCCACCTCTTGGAGCGACCACCTGGCCTGGATGGACTATGCCCACAACAGCCATGTGTCCACAGCCACAGGTCAGTCTCCCTTCGAAGCTTCTCTTGGCTACCAACCCTCTCTGTTTCCCCACCAGTCTGACTCCACCGTCACTACGCCACAGTTTCTCCGCCGGGCACGTCGAGCTTGGACGGCTACCAGAGCCGCACTTCTACGCACTGCTGAACGGAACCGACAGTTGGCGGATCGTCATCGCCGCCCGGCACCAGCCTACGCTCCTGGACAGATGGTCTGGCTGTCCTCCAGGGATGTACCTCTTAAAGCCACATCCAAGAAATTTGCTCCCAGGTTTCTAGGTCCTTTTAAGATTGTGGCGGTTCCCAGCCCTGTGACCGTTCGTCTGGACCTTCCGCGATCTCTCCGGATTCATCCAGTTTTCCACGTGTGCTTGATCAAACCAGTGGCCACCAGTCCTCTCTGTCCGACCCCGGACCCGCCTCCGCCTGCTCGGTACTACAAGGGTGGCCTGGTCTACCGGGTTCGGCGGATACTCGACTCTCGTCCACGGGGTCGGGGAGTACAGTACCTGGTGGACTGGGAGGGGTACGGCCCGGAGGAGCGTTCGTGGGTCCCCCGGGCGTTCATTGAGGATCCCTCCCTCATCTCAGACTTCGAGGCCTCTAGGACCACCGCTGGGGCGCCAGGAGGCGCCCGTTGAGGGGGGGGGGGGGGGGGGGTAATGTCATCGTTCTCGGGTCTAGGTGAGTCCTCCTCCTCAACTAACAATCTTTGGGGTTCTGTGTTCCACAGGTGAGGAGCGGAGAGGTACCAGCTGTTCTGAGTTACTCATTTGGAGCTCGGGTTTAAAAGGAGGATGGAGACACTACTCGAAGCCGGATGATTACTCCAGTATAGGTAATGCCTGCCACTCGTACTTGTTTGACCTCGCATGTTTGGGTTACTTGGATTTTGACCTTGGACTGTTTATTGGATTACGGCTTTGAACTTGCTCCTGAAGCTCCGTTTGTTTGCCCTCCTAGGATTACCACCCCAACCTTCACCAAATTCTGCTAAGAACCACGGATCCTCATTCACGTCTCATCCTCCTCCACCGCTCCTGCATTTCTCCTCTCTGCTTCCTCACCTCCCGTCCGGCTGGATTACTACACTCGTCTCCTTGGCACCCCGCAGCTCGCTGAGCTAAGAACTCTGAGCAATCGCCCTCGGCATCATTCACTGGATTTCAGTGCTACTTCAGTTCCCGTTTGTTTAAATAAAGACTTTAATTTCTTACCTCCTGACTCCTGAGCTGATTCTGCATGTCTTGGGTTAAACGCCTTCCACAAGTCATGACAGCTACTTCGGTAAACTCAGCTAGTTTAAAGGCGCGGCAGTGACATAAAATACGAATATAGATTTTAACTTACCGAGAAAAATTAAATGGAGACTCCTTGGACGCTCTGTTAGTGCAATTAATACCACTGCAAGTCATTTTGTCCAACAATTGCACCAATAATATCCAAAACAGAATTCACAAGCACAGAGACTCAAAATCCCGAAACAGTTTACAGGAGACACCGAGGCTGTACTGAGGCCTTCCCACGGAGCACGGTCACGTGGGTCTGAGGCGGCGGTCACGTGTGTCGGATGCTCATTAATTATACAGAATTTTAGGCTTTCAATACACTTAAACAGAAGAGTGAGAAAAAAATTCACCCCCCTCAGAGTTGTCATGAGTATAAACTAGATAATTTAGACAAAAAACATTTTTTGGAACCAGGCTGTAAACATGTTTATTTCTGCTGTGAAATCGGCATTTTTAACATGGGAGTCAATGAGGATTTGCTCGCTTCTGGCACCAGCCCCCAGCGGATGAGGGTGGAACTGCAATTTTTCTTACTTCCGGGTTGGGACCATTTTTAGAGCGGCATTGTGGGGGCTTGGTAGCAACCTAGCTACAACCGGAGTTAACTGTGCACAACACCAGAGCTTCTGGGTCAGAGATACGCCGGACTGACCGCTGGGTAAAACCGGGTGGAACACAGAGGTCTCCCGAGAGCTGCACAAGCTGGCAGCCGCACAGCAGACAAGTGCCGCTGCGATCTGAGATGTGCAGAGCTGCCGCTGGGGAGAACCGGGTGGAAAGGTTTCCATCCCAGAGCTCCACAAGCCGGCAGCCCGCGCAGCAAACAGAAGCCGCAATCAGACAGAGATGCGCCGAGCTGCGGGGAGGGGAGAACCGGGTGAAAAACAGAGGTCTCCCGAGAGCTCCACAAGCCAATAGTCGGAACCCAGCTCCACAACTTTTGCACAAATAATATCCAGAATATAATAATAATAATATCCAAAAAAGAACGCACAAACGGCACAACTACTGGTCTAAGTTGAGAGACTGAAAATGACCGAACAGTTTTCAGGCGAGGCCGAAGCTCAGGCTGAGGTCTTTCCCCGGAGCTAGCTCTGCAGTCACGTGGGTCTGATGCTCATTAATTATACAGAATTTTAGGCTTTTAATACACTTAAACAGAAGAGTGAGAAAAAAATTCACCCCCTCAGAGTTGTCATGAGTGTAAACTAGATCATTTAAACCAAAAACGTGTTTGTAAACATGTTTATTTCTGCTGTGAAATTGGTATTTTTAACATGGGAGTCAATGAGGATTTGCTCGCTTCTGACACCAGCCCCCAGCGGATGAGGGTGGAACTGCAATTTATTTCCCTTCCGCATTGGACTCAATTTCTGTCCCACATTGTGGGGGCTTGGTTGAAAGAAACCCAAAACAACACACCCTTCACATGGTCACACATACACAAGTTCGCTGTGTGTGTGTGTAAGCACTTGCATTCATTACGTTGGGGGGTCCGTTCGCAGGGAGCCCACCAACTGTGTGGGGCCCGGTGTAGTTGAGGGGCCCAAAAACCAGAGCCTCACATGGGAAACCATTCTAGAAGAGCTTGGGAGCCTCTCTTGATATGCCTGGTACTTTTTTCAAACTGGAAATGTGTGTGTGAAGTGTGTGTGCTCATGCACGCCCCCATGCCTGAGAGCAGGGTATTGCAAGTACACACACTACGGGAAGTGTGTATCATCGGGATCCCTCGAGGGTGGATTTTAAGAAATAGAGTGTGTTCAGAATGGATCGTGATTGGCTGTCTTTTAGAGGACATGTGTCACTTCCTTAAGTTTCATGAAGTGATGTTTGCATGATTGTAATTGAAAAAATGGTGTAAAGAATAATGCATAGAATTAAAATAGCATAATAGTGAACAAAATTAAGTATAAAATAAAGGTATATTTAAAATAAAAAAAATTAAACAGAAGCTATTAAAAAACACACAAGAACTGAAGTTTTAAGTATTAGCTTTAAAACTTTGTGTTGTGTATTTTCTAAAATTGTCTCAACCACAAAGTTTTAAGCACTAGCTATGAAATACAGCCCAAACCAGCAAACTATTTATTGGTAACCATGAATATTCATACTTCGGTTTTGGTGCGTTACCTGTTTGAGGAATGACGTAGCCTACGTTGTGCCGTAAACTGCAGTGACGTCGGCCGTAGAATGCAGTCCTACAGTACGTACCGATACGTACGTAACGTAGGCCTGCTTTGCAGCATTTAAAATCCGCGTGGCCAGAGGAACACAGACAAACGATTGCGGTAAGTACATGAACATAGTTTGAATATTGCAAATATAAGACGTGTCTTCAGGTTAATATTCGCGTTGATACATCCAAATGTATTTTCTGTATTCGCTTCGGAGCATTATCAGTCAACATAGACCCGTTTTTAGCCATGCGTGAGTAGCTAACAGGCAGCTAGTTCAGCGCTAGCGACTTTGTAACTTGACACTCGCGGTTTCAAACTATCCTGTTCATTTTTGAAGCAGGCACATACAAACAGCGCATTTATGGGAGGTTAAACCTTTAGCTAGCTGTTGATGAAGCTAGGTTAGTAATTTAAATGTCTTTATTTCGGTTGTAACATGAAGTGACATCACACCTGCTCCTCCAAACTTGTTGTAAGTTGGGGAAGTTTGAAAACCAAACAAAATTTGTGTTTTATTAAAACTATGAATTAGATGTATGTAAAAGTTAAATAAGGGCTATAGTATTTTAGCATCTGGACCAAATTAAAACCATTGAAGTTGAAATACTACTACTTAGACCAGAAATACCAAAGACTTGGCCTGGAGGTCTGCTATCAGAAAAATTTATTTGAAATTAGGTGATGCCGATAATATAGGGTGCCTAAGTCAGACCCATTTATTTCCATTTAATTATCAAAGAATTCTCACTAATTTCTTGTTTTATAATTTGCTTTCAGAGGCAAAATGTTCAAAAGGAAAGCAAGAATAAAACCTATTGATGAAGCCAAATGTTATATTCAATCTTCAAAGGACAAGCAAGGATTAAAGGAAATATACAGTATATAGATGATTACAAAGGTAAGACATAACTCATTTTTGTTATGTTTATTACAAGTTGGATTCATTTGGTTTTGTAAATTTACACTGCTCACAAGAATTAAAGGAACACTCTTTTATTGGGCCTGGCATGAAATCAATTAAACCTGTCTGATAATTTCCTGGTTGATTAAGCCGCTGAGTTAATCACTTTCAGCTGTATTGGTGTTCATGGACTTAACGGCAGGTGCACTAAAGTGACAACAATTACAAAACAAGGCTGGTTTAACATGAAGAGGTCATTTCAAGTTTATCCCTCTTGATCTGTTTTGGCTGGTTTTCCACTCGTGCTAGTTTTGGCTCCCTACTGGCAGTATGAGGCGATTCCTTAACCCTACAGAAGTTGCACAGGTTGTCCAACTTCTCCAGGATGGCACATCCACACGTGCTGCAGCAAGAAGGTTTAATATGTCTCCCAGCACAATCTCGAACATCGAGGAGATTTCAGGAGACTGGCGGTTATTCTCGGAGAGATGGACAGCGCCGTAGAAGGTCCACAACCCATTAGCAGGACCGATACCTGCTCCTTTGTGCAAGGTGGAACAGGCTGAGCACTGCTCCTGCCCTACAGAATACACACCGACGTAGCCATATTACCCCTGTCCTGGAACAACTTCACTGGCTCCCTGTCATTTTCAGAGTACAGTTTAAGTTATTGACTTTTGTATTTTAAGCACTCAACGACCTGGCACCGCCCTATCTCTCTGACCTGCTCACTCCATATGTACCCACGCGCACGTTGAGGTCGGCTGACCTTTTGCTGCTGTGTACGTCGCGGATGCGATACAAATTGCGGGGTGAACGAGCATTTGTGCATGCCGCCCCAAAGCTGTGGAACTCGTTGCCCATTGGAGTTCGGCAGGCTCCATCACTGGAGGTTTTTAAATCTTGTTTAAAGACCCACTTTTACAATTAGGCTTTTAGACAGTGACTCATTTTAGTGTTTTATTGTGTCATTGTTTTAATGTGTTCTTAGTATTCATCATGTTTTATCTGCTTTGACTGGTATTTTTATCTTCTGTTTTAGCTCCTTAGAATGGTCGTGTTTTGTTTTAGCCTGTGCAGCACTTTGGGCAGCTCCCATGCTGCGTTTTAAACGTGCTATGTAAATAAACTATAATATGGTACAGAATGACGTCCAGAGGGCCACTGGTGTGAATGTCTCTACCCAAACAATCCCTGAGGGCCCGACGTCCTGTAGTGGGCCCTGTGCTCACTTCCCAGCACCGTAGAGGTTCCACTGGCATTTGCTCAAAAAAACCCAGAATTGGCAAGTCCGCCACTGGTGCCTTGTACTTTTTACAGATGAGAGCAGGTTCACCCTGAGCACCTGTGATAGACGTGAAAGAGTCTGGAGAAGACAAGGAGAACATTATGCTGCCTGCAACGTCATTCAACATGACAGGTTTGGTGGTGGGTCAGTGATGGTCTGGGGAGGCATATCCATGGAGGGATGCACAGACCTCTACTGCCTAGGAAAAGGTGCTCTGACTGCCATAAGGTATCGAGATGAAATCCTTGAACCCTTTCCAGGGGTCCTCAATTATAATGGTCCGAGGGCCACTCACAAAAAAGACCTAGAAGCAAGAGGGCCGGACGGGGGGAGAGGGGTGTTGCTGCTGCT